GACAAGTCCTAGTTCTGGCTTGACTAATGGCCGCCATTATTTTAAGCCCCTGGTCTTCTGTTTAAAAACCTACCTTTAGTACTCCTCGCAGGATACTTCCACCAGCAACACCTCCCTTTAAATCATCTACTTCACAGCCTGGTTTGTTGACATCAAACGATCTGATAACTAAAAATAAATATCATGAAATCCGTTAAATGTGACCTCTTAGTCTCAGAGAAAATATTTTATCTTTCTAGAGTTCAAAGTAAGCTTAGATAGGGACCGTTCATTTTTTAACTGGGGGTGAGAAAAGGAGGGGCCTCGAAAATTGTTCATGTGCAAAAGGAGGGGCCCTGGAATTTTTTTATGGATTTAAGGGAGGGGACTTGAAATTACAGATGAAGGTCTAAAAGATAGTGAAGGGGGTCTTGAAAAAGATCACTTTCTTTGTAGGGGGGCCCCTAAAAAAATGGGCACCTTTTCCAATTTCTCACCCAGCCCCCTCCCCCAGTTAAATAATGAACAGTCCCTTATGACCTCATAGCCAATAAGATGYTTTAACATTTTTTTATCAGTAGTTCGAAATTAAATTATTAAAAATTATTATGATTATTATTATATTAAAAATGAACAACTATTGTGAGAATAACGAGAATAACTGCTATGAAACCTTCGTACAACAAAATCCTTAAATTCATATTTACAAATAATAACAATTGCTTGATTTCAATCAACGAATAAAAATCTTTGAATCTCAGTATCTGCTCCAAATGGTGGTCAAACACTGACCCCCATGTGCTGTCAACCAGAAAGAATTCTATCTAAAACTTGTGGTTCAGCTGATGAATATTCTGAGCGACACAGGATATGACGTCACGTGAAACTCATCAATACATACCTATAAGCCTAGGTTGCGACGTAAAGTCCCTTACGGGCACAGGTATATTCCTACAGATATATTCACAAATCACTTCAATGTTGTACTTGAGTTGTGCTGATATYGGTATGACTGGTGCTCCTTCGGCAATCGTACCTGAAACCAGAGAGCTTTGGAGTGAGCTTTGGAGTGTTGCAACAAATTTCAGCAGCTGATTCAATAAACAAAATCTGCACTCTAAATGGTATCCTTACTAATAGATAATATCAAAGTTTCAACACTTGCCTTGCACAAATTTAAGGATCTGGTCATACTGATCCTTAGCCTGTGTCTCCTTGACTAAATCAATCTTATTTTGTAGAATCAGAATGTGCTTTAGCTTCATAATTTCTATAGCCGCCAAGTGTTCTGATGTCTGTGGCTGGGGGCATGACTCATTGCCAGCTATCAAATAAAAGTAATCAAGAAATTTAGTCATTTTTTCGTATATACTTATTTCAATAAAGTTAGTCACCTGAAAAGTTGTAAAGCTCAGACCAACAAGGATTATGGGTAGATATATTTTACATGTTTCAACCGCTTGATAACTGTTGATGGACTTGCACATCTTCTATYAATACAGTCTCACCTCTCCTGAGCATCCTTAAGCTGCAGTTTGTATCAAAAACGTTTTACCTGTTTGATATGAATTGTTTCCCATTATCCTCAGTGATCTCAGCTTTCTAGGATATTTGGTGACTAACTTTATTAAAATTAGTGTATATAAAAATTTCTTTCATAATAAAGACGCAGGAGTGTTTTATCAAGTTTAAGACCAGAAGGCATAGCCTGATAAATAAAATATCTGTGAGTTTAATGAACACCTTCAAAAACTTATGATTAATTAATCAACACTAATAAAGAAGACTTGATTGGGTCAGCCAATTGGATTGCAAGAATAAGCTCTGTTATTGTAAAAAACAATCTTGATTTCATCAACTGCAATACTCACCAATCAATAAAAGTGCAGCGTCCATTACAGCTGCTCCGTTTAACATTGTTGCCATAAGAATATCGTGACCAGGGCAATCAACAAATGATACATGCCTGCRTGACCAATAACCATTGATCAGATCATAAACCCATTCTAAATATTGGCAAAACACTAGAGAAGTGTTGAGAAGCACTACACTACATGTAATACTTTTCCTAATGCTTCTCTTATGTTCTGCCAACCCCTGTGTGCTTCTAACTGCCCACAGCACATGCACAATAATGTATTAAGCTATTAAATGGGCATAACATATGCACATTGCATTGGCATGATATATGGAACTTTCTTTGTCGGCCCAATTGTACAAAGGGCAGACTATTCGAAGGGCAGTACTTTCCGATGGAAAAATCCTATTCAGTGGATAAAGTGATGCTGTTATCCAATAAATTTATCCACTGGATAAGATTTATCCATCAGATAGCGCTATCCACCAATACAAGTTTGCCTATTTTTTGTCTGCTTGTTGGTTTCAATTGGTTGTATTTGATACAAGGTTTTCTTTGAACTATTTTGTAATCACATGATTMTTTTCTTTTCTTGCACATGATGGTAAGGCCAAACAAAAAAATAAGTGTATTTCCTGTTGTGCGACCGACCCTAATTTTCTTGTCGATTTTTGCCGACCCTAATATTTTTTTCATTCCCAAATGCACCACAGGGTTCCCAGTAAGGTCATTTCCACTGAAAATGAAAAAATATCTTGTTGTATCAGTAAACAATAAAATAARTAAAATAAAACCTGACCTACCGACTGCAATTATTTTTCTCATGCAACAGGAAACACACTTTATTTTTTTGTTTAGCCTAAACAGGTATTTCTCAATGCAGTATATATTTTTTACATATTTTTAGTATATTTAGCCTTCAAGTGAATAAATATTAGCTTGTCATACAGTACCTCATGAGTCTAAATTTTCCAGGGCAGCCAGATCTCTCACATGGGAAGACATCCTCCTTTGCACTACCAGCAGACCGATAACAGCCTGGTTTGGGACAGCTAGGATGATCACATTTGTAAATCTAAAAGAAARATACTTARAGATTATCACATGTTAAGAGCTTGATGTMTTTTTATTTACGAGTTTTTCGTATCATATCGCRAACGAGCGAGTCYGAGAGGTATTTTTATTCACAGCTTTATYTTACAGATATAGACTCTAAACGTGTAATTAAATAAACATACTGTCCTGAGTGGGGAAGGGAAGGGGTGATGATACAAGCCACATAAAACGTATAATGATTRGCTAGGGTAGGATTGTCATGAGACAATGCTCCATGTAGAAGACACTGTAACAAGTGGGGTAGGGTAGAGGAGATACTCTGAGGAAAGACTAACATTTGACTAACATTAGCACAGTTACAAACCTTTTTGCAAATGTGTTCACATTTTTCATTTAAATCTTTAGTACAGAAAACATCCTGTACCATATAGCTGTTATGACAAGAAATGCGGGCAATAAGTTTATCAGCCATGGCCTATTAAGTGCTACCCTAATAAAGTCTTTATTATTATTGTTATTATAATGTGACGGACTAGTGTAGGTTAATATCTCTAGACAAATAAAAAGTCATTGTACCTTAGCATTTGCATATCCTAATTTGATTGTGATATTTCTTTCTAATTCRTTTTTAAATCTGACCGTCTGGACTCCAGACAGAGCTTTGACAACAGTTGACTTTCCATGGGCTACATGACCAATGGTACCTGAAAACAAATAGATACCAATAAATTAATATTAATGATATCACTCTTGTCTTCTAATACTCATATTCTTGGTAAATTGCAAACATTCCCAAGGGAGTAAAATATTAAAAAAACTAATCAATCTAATATTTAATAAGAAAACTAGATGTTAAAGACAACGCTTCGCTGTCATCTCGATTTAATATTGATTTTTCAATTGATAAATAGATATCGACTGATATCAAACTTACAAAACTTATGAGCCTACATAACCTCAGTATTGAGGTATTGAGGGGGGTTGAKAACTATTGCAGGGTGATGAAGGGGGGGTTATGCAATTGTTACCTCTGCCATGGAGAGGGTTGGGTTAAGTTTGTAAAGCTTCCATGTGATTTTGCCGACCCCCCCCCTCCCCCCCTCCATCCGCTAATAAATGAAAGCCCCTAATTTGAAAGCAAATTAGTATTGGGAAACAAAGACAATCTGTAATAAGCTTCACGTTGGCATTTTGAACCAACTTAACTCTCCTGGACGATTATACGTGTTGAAATAAACTATTGAATTGTATTTGTTACAAGCTTTCGACCTCGTTGTGCCGTTCTACYGCTGTACTTTGCGATCGTGATGAGATATGACAAGTTTTTGTAGACTCGATCTACAGTGTTTACCAGCTTAAGAACTATATCTTACCGATATTAATAGTTGCTTGTCTGCTTATAACATCTGGAGTTAAAGGATTCAGTTCTTCTACATTCTGAAGACCAAACATACAGAATTCAACTCTAAGTGCTGACTGATCRTCAAAGACAGCTATTTTATTCATTTTCTTCGTTTCACGTGGAGTAAATTTTAAACTTAAAAGACCAAATTGCTTACCAGTTTTGATATATCTTGYTTAGATAAATGTGACTGTCCTAAGGCAGGATGTTCTGTTTTACTGTCAGACGCCATCGAGAAATTAAACTAGTCTTTTTGTGACAAATTTTTAGAGTAAATTTTAAAACCGGCGAAACAAAATGGCGGACAGCGGGTGACGCAATGCTGATTTGATCGAGGAGAGCTGGTGACTAGTGGTATAAAATATTACTTAGTGGGGAGGGGCTACGAAGACTTGTTGCCAATATATTATCACAGGTAGCCCAATTTAGAAAAAGTGAAAGGTGAATATAAAATGGGGGAAAAGACAAAGACTACTTCTTTTAAKTCTTTGTACTCGATCTCAACATATTGTCCTCCATATTACAAACTGCTGACTTTTTTTTTCCGAACAACATTTTTGCTCGGGCTGGCTTACTGAGAAASAAACATARARCATAAAAGCTGAGACCGAAATGRCACATGGRAAATGACATAATTATATTATAATYTATTYATTTGCRCCATCCATGCAGTYGGTTTAGAATGCCAAACGCGWWTTAAAAACAGTGGATGATGCCACGGGTCGCCGGTCACAGAATGCATCTAATTAACGTACTTCCCATGTGCCATTTCGGTCTCAGCTTCTATGTTCTATGTTTYTGAACCCGACRACGATTCTTCAATTGAGTGTATACCATCACTTCTTTGTTTACCGGGACGGTCTCGACGGATAGATGTTAACCAGGTATGCTACTTAGGTCATCAGAAACTTTCGAAGACAGTCACGATTCAGTAATGACAGCAATATCGCAATCATTATTCTTGAATAAAACGCACAAATTTCAAAACTATAAAACTAATAAGTCTAAGAAAAACCAAAAAGAAAAATAAAGAAATAAAGAAATGACTGAGCTCAAAATATTTAAGTATCCACACTGAGTCTGGCGCATGCGTTGCGAATACGAATTTTTTTTCATTATTGTATTCATCCAATAGGGTAAGATCTTCTTAGAGCTGCATCATCAAGNTATATAAAAATTAGTTGTGATTTTTTCAGATTTTATCATAGAATTAGTTTGTATATAGTGAAGTATATATTTTTATAGTTTGTAATTAGTTTATTGTTTTATATGCAGGGCCCCTATGGATATCAGCCTAGTTGCTGAAAGGGCTACCCTGTTGAAATAAAGTCTTTATTATTATTATTTTATCATTACGTGAGGGATATCTCAACCGATCTAATGTCTTTTTCTATCACCTTCTCAGTTTTTTTACCTACAGATGTTTCCATCTTTATTTGACTATCCTTTTAAGTTATTTTCTAAAACATTTATACGACGATCAAGCCCTTTAATTATACTAACTTAATAATAGCGTACTAACTAACATTTGTAACTTAAAGAAAACTAAATGGGGGATTAGCTCAAATGCTAGAGATCTCGCTTTGCATGCGAGAGGTACCGGGATCGTTACCCGGATTCTCCAAGTTACTAGTTTTGCGGCAATTTTTCTACTTTTCGATTAGTCGCCTTTTTATCTTATCTTGCAGATTCGTAGGATAAGCATTTTAGGCCCCGTCCACACCTATCCGGAAATCTTTGTATCCGCAAATTATTTTTTGCGGATACGAAAATGTTTGCGTCCACACGCAGCGTATTCGAATCGTTTTCGAATCGTTTTCATCGTCCACACGTATCCGTTTTCATAAAATTTGCGGATACGGATACGAAAATTTGCGGACACGTGTGGACGCAACCCGTATCCGCAAAAAAAAAATTGCGGATACCAAAATTTACGGATACGTGTAGACGGGGCCTTATGTTGTAACATATTCGATGCAGGTAGTGTCTTCCTGGTTGAAGCACTGTTCTAATAAGCTATGGCTAAGCACTCAATTTTACACGTTGAGAAAAGAGACTAACGTTAGATTAAAAAATCATTTATATATTCCTTTTTCATCCCTCCCAGCAGAGCCACATGTTAAGCAGATCAAAAAGAATGAGAAATCACAAACAAAACACAGAATATAGGGAAAACAATTGTATAACAGAGCAAGGTTTATTATATGTGGGTAGTTATTTGGAGCTAGTTATCTGGGCAAAGCAAAACGACGAAAGAAAGAATGTGAATGAAAATAGTTGTTGTTCTGCTCTACAATGCTGGTTGCTTTTCCCACAAGAATCTAACAGCTCATCAGCAGAGTGGCGCAGTGGAAGCGTGCTGGGCCCATAACCCAGAGGTCCAAGGATCGAAACCTTGCTCTGCTATTCATGCCCTACAATGCTGCTTGCTTTTCTCACAAGTATAAATTAATCAGCTCAATGTGCTTCAATTTTTTTACATTCCTTCCTTACTTACTTCCTTCAAACCTTACTTTCCTTTTTTTCGCTTTTTTCAATCTTGTTGATCAGGGGCGATTACAAATTAAACCAATCCGGAACTTTCCGACCAGAATAATACATGCCATTTGTTTTCCAACTTTTAATATTTTCGGTTTATCCTGGTAAATTAGAAGTACTCTAACGTTGTCATTTCTCTTAATTCCGAGTCACTGACTATGCTTTCTTGTATATCAAAGTGGCGAGAGCATAAAAAAAATAAATATTCAAGCTTCTTTTGATATATTTTAAGATAAGGCTGAAGGATTTTAAAAGAACGTTTTTCATTATACTATAGACTAATCATATTCCCATATGGTCTAGTGGTTAGGATCCGGCGCTCTCACCGCCGTGGCCCGGGTTCGATTCCCGGTGTGGGAAATTCTTTTTGCTACATTCTTTTTATCGTAAGCAATAAGCAGGTTCCTTGCTGTTGAAAATTCTGTTTAGTGTAATGTTGAAGGTCCAGATGGTTCCATCTCTATATTTGACCAACCTCTCTGCGCCRTCATGAAAGGTAGMCGTGCCTCTGCATTGGAGCGAAACGAACGATGAGCTAACAATGATAGAGATATGTAAATAATTGTTCAAGGAGTTTAAAAAACTCCATCATTGCAAGCTCMTATTTAGTCTCCCTTCGATGCAAAGGCCGGCTACTTTTCAAGATGGTGCAGGGAACTGTGAAAGGGACTATTGTGTAAAGTAGTGATAGCATAACTAGTATGCTTTATTTACAAAAGAAGGGGGATTAGCTCAAATGGTAGAGCGCTCGCTTAGCATGCGAGAGGTACCGGGATCGATAACCGGATTCTCCAAGTTCAATTAACTTTTGCATAAACTTTCCTCCTATTTGAATGACTAATTGCTTTCTTAAGGTGATGTTACTGGGGACGATTCGCAACGACGTTTTTTCGCGATATGACTCCTCGATTTTTAATACATGTTATACACGAGTCAACCTTTCGCCCAACGTTCGTTTGAAAATCAACAAGTTACACGAGATGATTTTTAGCGATTTCAAAGCTCTAGTGCCATCTTCAGTGTTTGTTGATACGCCTCGTCTATAAGAGAGCATTGGACTGCATTTTGKTATGCGTTGCGCGAAAAATCATTAMTGAAGCTGTTACACGAATCAACTTGCAAAAAATTCGCCATTTTGCGTTGCAAGTTTTTGAAGATGAATCAAAACCTTGCAAAGGCGTTGCCAAAACCCGAAAATCGTTGTAGATGGCATGTTACACGGACTCAATTTTTTGCGCAACGGCAGCTTTAAGGTATATAGCTCATCCATCTACTTTAACTAAATNAAGAAATTTTTTTTGGCTCGATCCGCCCTTGGACATTGCTCAAAAAATAGAATAGCGCACCGATTGGATATTTGGCATTCTCTCAATGTTTGATTTACTTTAAAACTTCGTGTATCATTCCAGTCACCCCAGTCAAAAATACATCTATATAACATGGTTAACTTTTAAATGGTTTTATTCGGCATTATCATTTTAAAGCATCAGCTCGTGTCTGATGACTAACACCTACTAGGTGCAATTATGAAGAACCTAGTATTTTTATTTTTCTTTGTCTTCCAGCCATTCAATGCTTTGCCATTTCGTTTTATCCCTACATATGTATCATACAACGTTTTTCGATAATAATCGTGAGATGAAATATATTGATAGTTCGGTCTCGTTATCCTGAAAATAACCTCGGCGTCGTTGGGGTTCGTCTGAAAGAAAATCAATGTCCATCAACCAAAAAAGCAATCATTATTGCAGTTGTCGATATTCTGCCAACTCAGACATTCCAACGGCTTGTTGTGAAATGGGTTTTTTCACTGCCGCCAGTCAAGAACATAAAAGGTACCGACTGATTATTTTTGATTGACGGCAAGCGAAAAACCAAATTTCAGCGTGCAGATTGTGACAACTAAGTTCACAGAATATGGAAAACTGCACGCAGTAACGATAGCCATAGAGGAACGAGYGAACAAAGGACGSGAGWGARGGAGGGAGTGTGAGAGAGAGAGAKTATGGCTCAGGTCAAACGTCGAACTTAACATGAGCCGAACAGAATTGAAAAATGGATAACAAGGCGGTTTTCTTTGATGTTATTACGCTCGGCTCAAATCAAGTTCCACGTTTGACTTTAGTCTAAGCGAGTAGAAACAGAAATATTAAAAAATTGAGGAGGCAAAACGAATGAAAGGTCGGAATTAAGTGAGTATGAAATTTTTGACTTTTCCTATAATCCCACAATAAATTATCATATTCTTGCACTCACCGATGGATAAAGATCTCCATTGATGTTCATGGCCAAATACTTTCCAGACCGTATACCCTTTATTCTCCCAAATTTAAGCTGTCCCATCCTGAAATTCTCAATTTCTACAGGAACTGAAACGAAAAAAAACCCCATAAAAATAGAATATGCGGCGCAAGAAGACAAGATKTGTGAATAACTAGCATACGAAATGCATACAAAATCTAAAAGATTAACGGGAAATTTAAATTCAATATTAAGCGTTAGCTGTTGTATCACAGCGTAGGACAATCACAACAGGGTAAGCTCCAAACTAGGTGAAGGCCCAAAGATCGAATTGAAAATTTGAAGTTGATTTTTGAGGAGAGAGGAAACCGGAGAACCCGCAATAGCTTAGTACATAGGATGCTTAACATTTGCAGGAAAAACGGAAATTCCGTTTGTAAAACCAAATGGTACAGTGAAACCCCTCTATACCGGACCCTCAGTATACCGGAATTCTCTATAAACCGGACAAAAGTTTTGATCCGGAAATTTTCCCATATATCTTTTGTAAAATAAACCTCAGTAAACCGGAACCTCTCTATTCCGGAAACCGAACGATAATTTCGGTACCAAACGCTATTTGACAATAGAATTCAACCCCGCTAGTCCGGAAGAACGTACCTTTGTTACGGAATTACCGTCACTAGCGTATTTGCGGGAGTACAATTTGAGTCTACAGGGACAACTTCTAAACTCACAAAATCATTGAAAATTTCGAATTCCTTTAAATAGTAAATCTTGTTCACAAATAGACATATAAAGACTAATTAATTGTTTTCAATATATAAATGTTCAAACAGAATGCATAAGGAAGGTTTAATAGTGTTGAGAAACACTAAAGATCGAATGGTTCGCGAAGTTGCGGCCGCCATGTTTTTTCATGTCACATGGCTTTGGGGTCATTCCCAGTCCATTTTACATGGGATTTTGTTTAGATCGTATTTAGAATGTTTCTCCTTGGCGTTCTTTTGAAAAAAAGTTAAGAAATTTGCTTAGTTTTTGATCTTATTGTTGATATTTTTACTTCAACTTTCGCTTACGTGTTTGTTTATACTGACACCAAACGTTTAGACACAAACATATTTTCAATAGGTGTGATATCGCACCTATTCAAATCGAAAACAAAAGTAATTTGCAAAAACCTCAGTATACCGGAACACCCGCTAAACCGGAATTTTTTATCGGTCCCAGCACTGTCCGGTATAGAGGGGTTTTACTGTATGTGCCATTCTGATCGGAAAGTTTCCTCAACTTTTCCCATTGAGGTATATTCCATTTTCCCGCGCTTTTCGGTTCTTCTGCTAGACGCGCTANATACTATAGACTAATCATATTCCCATATGGTCTAGTGGTTAGGATCCGGCGCTCTCACCGCCGTGGCCCGGGTTCGATTCCCGGTGTGGGAAATTCTTTTTGCTACATTCTTTTTATCGTAAGCAATAAGCAGGTTCCTTGCTGTTGAAAATTCTGTTTAGTGTAATGTTGAAGGTCCAGATGGTTCCATCTCTATATTTGACCAACCTCTCTGCGCCGTCATGAAAGGTAGACGTGCCTCTGCATTGGAGCGAAACGAACGATGAGCTAACAATGATAGAGATATGTAAATAATTGTTCAAGGAGTTTAAAAAACTCCATCATTGCAAGCTCCTATTTAGTCTCCCTTCGATGCAAAGGCCGGCTACTTTTCAAGATGGTGCAGGGAACTGTGAAAGGGACTATTGTGTAAAGTAGTGATAGCATAACTAGTATGCTTTATTTACAAAAGAAGGGGGATTAGCTCAAATGGTAGAGYGCTCGCTTAGCATGCGAGAGGTACCGGGATCGATAACCGGATTCTCCAAGTTCAATTAACTTTTGCATAAACTTTCCTCCTATTTGAATGACTAATTGCTTTCTTAATGTGATGTTACTGGGGACGATTCGCAACGACGTTTTTTCGCGATATGACTCCTCGATTTTTAATACATGTTATACACGAGTCARCYTTTCGCCCAACGTTCGTTYGAAAATCAACAAGTTACACGAGATGATTTTTAGCGATTTCAAAGCTCTAGTGCCATCTTCAGTGTTTGTTGATACGCCTCGTCTATAAGAGAGCATTGGACTGCATTTTGKTATGCGTTGCGCGAAAAATCATTAMTGAAGCTGTTACACGAATCAACTTGCAAAAAATTCGCCATTTTGCGTTGCAAGTTTTTGAAGATGAATCAAAACCTTGCAAAGGCGTTGCCAAAACCCGAAAATCGTTGTAGATGGCATGTTACACGGACTCAATTTTTTGCGCAACGGCAGCTTTAAGGTATATAGCTCATCCATCTACTTTAACTAAATRGTATTTTTTGGAMGCTTTTTGTTGCATGTATACTATTTGATATTCCGGTCACAGGTTTACTCGTCTATACACTCTCAATCTCGTCGTGTTTGTTCAGCTCGACCCATGACTCTCTCGTTCATGATATCCATCCATCCAATCCTAACTAATCCTTCCTTGTTTTTACGAAGTTATTTAAAATAATTTGAAAGTCCTAYCATGATCAGCTTATCCATGATAAAGTAGTACATCTTTGCTTATTACTTTAAAATTCAGTGCCTTTGTAGCTCAGTGGTTAGAGCACTGGTCTAGTAAACCAGGGGTCGAGAGTTCGAGTCTCTCCAAAGGCTTATTGATTTTATTTTTCAGTACGAACCCACCCTTAACAGTTTCGTATGTAACTGCCCAGTTGCATTTCACCATATCAAGAGGAAATATTTCAATCCAAGAAGGGTGAGCAACTCGAAAGCATTAGCTACTTAACCATAACATTCTAGCCTTATTTTGGTCCATGTTTTCTATTCCTTTTATAGATAATTATTTCACGTCATTTTGCAATAGTCCACTTCACAGTCTCTGCACCATCTTGAAAGGTAACCGTACCTGTGCATCAAAGTGAGAACGGCGGTGACCTTGCAGATATACAGTCAATTCAAAAAAATTTGTCAACTCAAGCCTACGCGAATGGACCGAAAGCAATCATTGAAGCCGAGTTGAGTCCATAATTTTATCTGACTTGTTATGCCTGGTTTAAAGCACGAACCTTCGTAGGCGTGCGGAAATGTTGAAGGAGACTTTTTTCAGTGCCGTCGTATTTTCGGGATTGTGAACTGAATTTTTGAATAGCCCACTTTCGATATATGCTTCGATTGTCACGCACAAAGGTTTCAGTATGAGGCTACGTGCTAAATTAAATTTATTCTTACCGCCTGTCACAAATGACTGAGCATTTTGCACGTAGCCTCATACTGAAACCTTTGTGCGTGACAAGCGAAGCATATTTCGGAAGTAAGCTATTGACTGTATACAGACATGTGAATACACGTACCCCTTGCATGTGACGTGAAAGCAGCACAATTTGGAGGACAAAAGAAAAGAATCGCAATGACATGACAATTGGAAACCTACTGTTATGTCCCTCGCAATCATTTGACCTGCTTTCCGACGTGTTCAGTGCAAGGGGTTTATATTTATTGCATTTAAACTTGCACCAGTCCTCGCTAATATATATCATTACGCGAGGGATATCTCAACCGATCTTATTTCTATTTCTTTCACCTTCTCAGCTTTTTTTACCTGTAGATGTTTCCATCTATATTTGACCATCCTCTTAAGTGATTTCCTAAAACATTTATACGACGATCCAGCAATTTAATTATACTAACTTAATAATAGCGTACTAACTAACATTTGTAACTTAAAGAAAACTGAATGCGGGATTAGCTCAAATGGTAGAGCGCTTGCTTTGCATGCGATTCCTTTGATTCTCCAAGTTACTAGTTTTGAGGCAATTTTTCTACTTTTCGAATAGTCGCCTTTTTATCTTATCTTGCTGATTCGTAGGATACGCCTTTTAGGCCCCGTCCACACCTATCCGGAAATTTTTGTATCCGCAAATTCTTTTTTGCGGATACGAAAATGTTTGCGCCCACACGCAGCGTATTCGAATCGTTTTCACCGTCCACATGTATCCGTTTTCGTAAAATTTGCGGATACGGATACGAAAATTTGCGGACACGTGTGGACGCAACCCGTATCCGCAAAAAAAAATTGCGGATACCAAAATTGACGGATACGTGTGGACGGGGCCTTATGTTGTAACATATTTGATGCAGGTAGTGTCTTTCTGGTTGAAACACTGTTCTAGTAAACTACGACTAAGCACTAAATTTTACACTTCGAGAAAACAGACTAACGTGAGATAAAAAAATCATTTATATATTCCTTTTTCACCCTCCCAGCAAAGCGACATATTAAGCAGATCAAAAAGAGTGAGAAACCATAAACAAAACACGGAATATAGGGAAAAAATTGTATAACAAAGCAGGGTTTATTATATATGGGTAGTTATGTGGAGCTAGTTATCTGGGCAAATCAAAACGATGAAAGAAAGAATGATAGTAGTTGTTGTACTGCTTGCTTTTCTCACAAATATATATTATCTCATCAGCAGAGTGGCGCAGTGGAAGCGTGCTGGGCCCATAACCCAGAGGTCCAAGGATCGAAACCTTGCTCTGCTATTCATGGAGTTCAATATTTTTACATTCCTTCCTTACTTAGTTCCTTCTAACCTAAGTTTTCCTTTTTTTCTTTATTTCACTCTTGTTGATCAGTGGTGATTACAAATTAAACCAGTCCATCCGGTTAGAAATTCGTTTACTTCTGATTGGACTTTGACTTCACCGACCATGGTACACGCGTCTACCGAAGAACCGAAAAGAGCGGGAAAAGTAAGAACCTCTATCAGAAGACCGAGCTTTTCAAAACTTTCCGATCAGAATGACACACCCTTTGGTTTCTAACTGGAATTTCTGCTTTTTCCGAGTGGTAAGTAGCCCAGGTTGTCATATCGCTTTAATGCGAATCACTTTCACACTGCGCGAGAGTATAAAATAAATAAATGTTGAAGCTCTTTTTGAAATCTTTTAACATAAGAAAAGGCTTTTCAAAATACATATTTTTTAAGAAGTTTATCAAATTCCCACATGGTCTAGTGGCTAGGATCCGGCGCTCTCACCGCCGTGGCCCGGGTTCGATTCCCGGTGTGGGAAATTCTTTTTTGGTACAGTGTTATCGCTAAACAATACAAACAAATAATCCATTGGGTCCTTGCGGTGTGGTAAATTCTTTTTTGGTAAATTCTTTTTATCGCTAAAATAATAAATTGAGTAAAGTAATAATAGCTGCTATATCAGCTGAAGCCGAGCCAAAATCAACTATAACTTGTAAAGAAGCAAAAATTAAAAAATCGGAGACACACTTTTGAAGAACAACTTTCGAAATTTTTGGGAAAAATCGAAAAATATTATGTATTTTATCGCAAAATGTAAAAATGTAAAAATCGATACTTTTGAGCAATTTTGGGGTACCCTGATACCTTAAGCAGAGTGGCACAGTGGAAGCGTGCTTGGCCATAACCCAGAGGTCCAAGGTTTGAAACCTTGCTCTGCTAAACACTCATTTTTATTTTATATGCCTCTATTTTGTCTTTTCTTCTTTTCGCTCCTTTTCAAAAAGTGTCTGGCCATAGCACTCAGTTAATGTAATGTATTCAGAAAATATAGTGTATTCTATTGTCGTTCTATGTATTGTATAAGGTGTGATTCATTGCATTATTATGAATATATTGCATCAACTACTTGCTACGTAGGCTCTCCCGTTTGAAGAACGAGTGCTCTTGCATAATCCATTTTTTGGCGCATGCGCTATTTTCCGGAAGTGAAATATGATCAATCTGAAAATCATGCTTCCAAACAGAGTTCTGTGTTTAATTCTGATCAAAATAAAAAATTAATATATTAGAAATCGGGAGGATGTCTTTATTTTATTTTTGGCAAGTACTTGAACGCATGCGCTTTTATACCGGACGCTCAAGAAATCCTGGTCTCAAAATATGGATTATGCCAGAGGCCTCATTCTTCGCAGCAGGCCAGAGGAAACGCAGGCTCTGGGTACGAGATTGCAGTTTGATCGGCCAAAAAACACGGCTCCTGCGTGATTTAGATCTTATTAACCGAGCGGGAGGTCTGTACGGGAAAATCTTGACCGAGGTCGGAATGTACAGACCGAGGTCAAGATTATGCCGTACAGACCGACCAAGCTCGGTTACTGAAGAGTTTTATTATATGAATATGAATTGAATTAAATGAAGCAAAGGGTGATGACTGCTTAATAAAATAAATGATGTTTCCAAAAATTAGATTAAAATTGAAGACATTTGAAAAGCTGAATGTCATAAAATGAATCCAATAATTGCTTACTATCAATCACGTGACTTTTTGGAGTTGACTGGGCCGGGGGGCAAACAAGCGGCAACTATGGCGGATGCTAAGTCAAAACATGTTAAAATACGTCCTCAAACTATTGTATTTGACAATTCTACGACATGAAGCCAGAAAATAAGAGACCAAAACAACCTCCAGGATTCTACAAGGAAGTGACGTATATTATTGATGGCAGCCTATATATACGCTGTCTTATCCACAGGGAACCCGGCTACGGTATATTTGTTTTTGCTTCTTTTAGAAAAGTAACTTTGCTTTTTGTGGGTTTCCTGAGCTGTAATCAGATCTGTGCTGAGATCAGATAGGCGCTGTAAGCTGATAGCTGATTACAGCGCAGATCTGATTACAGCTTATGTAAAAGGCAACCGATCACGACACAGGAAACCCACAAAGAGCAAAGTTCATTTTCTAAAAGAAGCAAAACAAATATAGCCGGGTTCCCTGTGTCTTATCACCAAATTTTAGCSACCGTTATATTTCCATCATTGACCATATCAGCGTGCAAAAAGACTAGGACCAAAACTAATTAATATTCCTTGTCACATTTGATTTGTTTCGTTTCCATGTACAAGCCAATGTCAAAAGTTGACCATATTCTCCCTTTCTCTCTGTCTACGCGACCAAGTTTTTTCCTTGTGAAGTAAAGCTTGCTCGTGTAGATTGCCGTCCGAGGATTAAAGATTTTGCCCGCTACGCACATGATAATGCAAATCATGACTGCAGCTATTTTCATGAATTTTTACAAAGGTATCGACTTTGGAATCGGTGCTATGCCATAAAAGTAACCTAAAAGTTGGATGCTTTTAACTTTGACTTTCAACATTTCCCAAGCGGAGATTCAAAGTTCTGTTTAGTATGTGGYTGAAGTGATCTTACCCTTAATTTTAACAAGCCTATATCGCTTCGAAAGCGATGATGTTTCGGCCCGTTATCTATTTATTGTGTGGCATTGCTGAATAAAGAATTTCGGTCTTGCTGTGGTAAATGATTGGGTCTCCTGTATTTTGAAAATGGCAGACAAGAGCGATTTTGCGGTACGCTTTCACGTTGCAAAGTCTTACGCAAATTTCGATGGAAACATTTGTTATAAAATTCTCTTGGATGAAACACATCGTAATTAATTTTTTTTGAATATCTTAGAGGTTCTTGCTTTGAAACATCGTAGTGTTTTGGGGAAAACTTTTCTGAGTCAGGGCAACGTACATACATATAACGTCTCGCCGAACAAATGAGAGATCCGACAATAGATATAAACAATGATCGAGTATCGCAGAGAGCAGAGTACAAA